CAACAGAACCAACTGCTTAATTAGAGAATCAGCCAGCGAGTTGAATCAACATTTCACTAAAGAAGGCTATGAATGGCTAATAAGCACATGAAAAGTTGCTCAACATCATTAGTGATTAGGGAAATGCAAATCGAGCCCACAATGAGATACCCTTACACACTCGGGAGAGGGGAACACCAGGCACCAGGCAGGCTGCCGCCGCCCCCCCGCCCTGGCGCGGAGGCGGAGGGAGCGGCCCCCCGGTCGGCGGCGCGGCTGGCGGGGACTCAAGGCGGTGCAGGCCCTTGGAGAACAGTGGAGACGTTTTTTTTTTTTTAGCGAGTTACGCACACACACACCCCACCTCGGCCGTCCTCCCCATGCGCAGGCACGGAACCCGGAGACACGAAAACGGACGTCCGCACGGACGCTCGCGGACAAAGGCTCGTGGCGGCGGCGCGCACAATGGGCCGCAGCTGGGAACGAGCCGCACGTCCATCAGCGGGCCGCAGGGCGCGCGGCGCGGCCCCGCACCGCGGAGCGCCATTCGGCTCTGCGAGCCGGGCAAGGGCAACGCGCGTGGGGGCGCCACGACCGCCGGCCCGGGTGAGAAAAGCCGAACACAAACACGGCCCCTCGTTGGATGCCATTTACAGGAAAAACATCCAGAAAAGGCGAATTTCCAGCGTCAGAGAAATGCGAGGATGCCAAGGCAGAGCCACCAGACCCCCGACGGGCCGGGGGTGGGGGTGGGGGTGGGGGTGGGAGCCGGCCGGGACTGCGGAGGGGGTCGGGGCACCTTGCGCGCAGGCGGGGCTGAAAATGTTCTCTTAGTTTTGACGGAGGTTGCAAACTATCCCTTTACTGAAATTTGTTGTCCGCTTACATTGGGCGAGTTTCATGGCGTAAATTACATAAATTTTATGGCGTGAGTCACACCCCAGTAAAGCCTGGAAATCATTTGCGATAGCAGCGATAATAGATGATTGTCCAGGGGGAGAGGCGACTGGAGAGGAAGCAGCGCCGCGCACCCTCGACACCGGTCCCCGCTGCGAACACGCAGAATTCGAACACGACGTGCACGTTGCCGTCAGCTCCGAAAACACGCCCAGCAAAACCGGACAGAAATGTGAGGGACACCAGATGAATTTTCCAGAGAGCTGGGGGTTTGACAGAGCAAGCAGGCCAGAGCGTTCCAGTGAGGACCCCGTTCCACCCAACTGTCCGCCTGCTTCTCTGGACGCGCCGGCGCGCGCGCGCGGCCTCCCAGCACAGGAGAGGCCTTCAGCCGGACTGCCCGCGCACTGTGCCGGGAAACACACCGCCGTGGTCTCCAAGGACCCCTCCCTCCCACCGCACGGGGGACGCCAGCGAGCCCTCGGCTGCGTCTCATCCACGCAGATCAGCCTGGTAACCAGCTCCCGGCAAAGACGGGGGCTCAGAATGGGCGTTAGAAACACGGAAAGCGAATGCCCCGGGATCGAGACGGGAGGGGGCGTGGTCTGAGTGGTGCTCGGGGGGACGCGCCCCACGTGTGCGCCTTCGACACCTGGGAAGGCCGCAGAGCAGTGGTCGTCCCACCTGAGCAGTTAGAGAAAGGACGACAGTATCCCAAGGCCGGATACACAGCAGGGACAAGACAAAGGGAAGGGACGAAACCTTCCATAGAAGCAACAGGGGTCACTGAAAATATTAATAAAACGGCGCGGGCTGGGTGGCTCAGTTGGTTGGAGTGTCGTCCTGTGCGCCAAACGGTTGTGGGTTCGATTCCCAGTCAGGGCACACGCCTGGGTTGCCGGTTTGACCCCGATCAGGGCTTGTGTGGGAGGCAACTGGTCAATGTCTCTCGCACTGATGTCCCTCCCTGTCTCTCTCTCTCTGTCTCTCCCTCTGAAATCAGTAAACATGTTCTTGATAAGGGTTTCTTTTGAGAAAGAAAATATTAATAAACTGGGCAAATACCTGGTGAGTCTGACCGACAGAAAAACAAGTAATGGCCCAAATAAACCGCCCTGGCCACGAGGAAGGGGCCCACCTACTGACCAGGCGCACGTTGAAACGCCAACACGTGTGAACAGCAAGATGCGGTGTGCGAACTCCGGGGACACACGGCTGGCTGGTCACAGCGCCAGTGAGCTGCGCGGAGCCACCCCGCCGGCGCCCGGGCCCGGCCCCAGCACGGAAGATCTTCCCGCACAGAAAACACCGGCCCCGGTGCTTTAACCGCCCCGTTTCGCCCCGCACACAATGGGGGGTGGGGGGGGGGAGTCCGGAATACTCCAGAACACAGAAAGGTAGGAGACCCTTCCCGGCTCAACCCGCCAGGCTCCCATACCGTTGGTACCCCGAGGAGGCGCGTGTAAGAAACATTCTGTTGTGTGTGCACAGTATCTCGTGTAAATATTGACACAAAAATTTCAAAGACAACATTAGCAAGGGGGTTTCACTGGTGTTTAAGAAATAATATACGATGTGAAGGATTCGGGGGGCGGGGCGGGGCCGCACACCACGGAGATGTCTGGAGAAATTACCCGAGCAGGGGGCTGATAAGGCCTGAGCCCAGCGTGGGGGGGGCTGGGGGCTGCCCGCGGGATGAGCCGGGGTGGGGGCGGGGGCGGGGGCAGGCAGGGAAATTGTTGAGATTACGTGGCTTGGGGTCTGGCCCGGGGTCTGGTGGATGGAAGGAGGGATGGAGTCGTGGGTCAGGGGGCCTGCCTGGTCCAAGGGGTGCGGCCCAGCACCACTCGGGGGTGGGGGGCGGTGGTCCCGGTCTGGAGAACATTCCTGGCCAGAAGACGGTGGAAGGAGGGCCAGGAGGTGGGGGCCCCTGCCCGCCCGCCCCCAAACCGGGGCCTGGAAACGCAGGACTTCCCTGTGTCCGGCTCTGAGCCAGAACATTTCCGGCAGAAACGGAGAAGAAAGAAGCCGGCCCCGCCCACGGAGCCGCTCATACCAGCCAGAGCAGCCCCAGAGCTGAGCTTGCAAAATAAACAGGGCTCAGCGTAAACACGCGGCAGGTCCTGGGGGCCGGCTAAGAATGTGCGGGGGGTGGGGAGGGAGGCCCGCGCGGCCTTCTGGGGGCCTGGGACGCCTGCCTCCCCGCGAGCAGCCCGGCCAGGGAGGGGCCGGAGGGCCCGGCCAGGGGCCCGCCAACGGTTGGAATCTCGGGGTCCCGGGGCTGCCAGAGCCCGCAGACACCCCTGTGTCCTCGCCCAGCCCCCGCCTCTTTTCCAACAGACCCCCGTGTTTCTGGTTTCTGCTCTGCCCCTGTCTCCGGCCCCAAGGGACCCGCTCACACCGAACCAGCTGTGTGGGACCTTAGACCACGGCCCAACCTTTCTGAGCCTCGGCTTCTCCTCCTGTAAAGGAGGATTTACCGGGGCAAACAAGAGTCCTTTCCAGCGTAGAGGAGGTGATGGGAAGAGCACGGGGGCGACCGGTGCTTTAGAAGCAGGAGCAAAGAGTGGGTCACAGCCCTCCCGTCACCGCCACGGGCGGGGGCGTCTGCAGGGAGGTCGGGGGAGGGGGGTCTGGCTGGGGGGGGTGCCATTCCTGCTTCCCCCACCCCCGGAGTGAGGCGAGCCTGGACAGAGGCCAGGCTGGGGGCGGAGGGCAAGCAGCCCCAGGAAGAGGGGCATCCTGAAGGGGGTGGGGACCCTGAGTTGGAGCAGAGCCCCCCCACTGCCCGGCAGGGTCCCGATGAGGAGGCAGCGCAGGGGGCCCTTCTCTCCCACGGGACTCCCGGCCCGCACGTCAAGAGAAGGGGCTCCTTGCGGGGAGACTGAGGTGCCCCCGAGCAAGCCAACTTGGTCTTCCCCGGTAACCCCTGACCCGAAGAATGACCTGCTCCCGAGAGTGGGGACCAGCGGCCGTGCGCCCCCAGGGCCCTGTCCCAGCCCCTCGCCCCGTGGCCCAGAGAGCCGGCTGGGCTGGGGCTCCGTTGGGGCCCAGGGCCTCGCTGCCCTGAGTGAGGAAGCAGCCGGGGGCCGAGCCTCCGCTCCCACCGCCCGGGCCTGGCTCCCTTCCGGCCCCCGGCCCGCCGGGCGGGGGTGGGCAGGCACGGGGGCTCTGGCCGGGGTGGGCAGCCGGGCGGCTGCTGGATTTCCTGCCCCGACTCCCGCAGTCAGCAGGGTCGCGGAGAGGTTGTTTATGGTCCCGATGGCGGCAGCGATAAGTGGGATGACGGGGCCCGGGACGTGCCACTCTGCCCTCTGGGCCTGGCGAGGCCCTTTCCCAGGGTCTGTCCTCAAAGGGGCCACCAGTGAGCTCGGGGGAGGGGCTGGGCCGGCTGAGCTGGCCGCCGCCCACTGTGACCTCCGCCCTGGGCCCAGCAGCTCCCCATCGGCCGCTGGACAGACAGCGGGGCCCTGCTGGCCGCCCTGAGACCGGGGCGCATGGCCCCCTTTCTGCGGGTGGCGCAGGAGGACGTGGTCGGTGCGGGCCGGTCTCCCCAGCGTCCACCCCGCAGACTGTCCCGGGAGCAGGGCCTGGCAGGCTGCAGCCTGGGGGCCTTCGCTCCCAAACCCAGTTCCCAGGGCCCGGGGACCCCGGGAGGGGCTCGCCTCTGTGGTTCCAGTCCGCAGAGAGGCGGGCAGGGGGCCCGCACCCGAGGCCAGTGCTGGCCTCACCGCAGGGACCTCGGGCCCCTGCGGGCTGCGCCCGGGTTCTCTGAGCCCCGGCTGGCTGCTGCTCCCACCTGCGGAGGGGCACGGCAGCCCCCCCCAGGCCCCCTCCAGGGACACCAGGCTCCCGTCTGTCCCGAGAAGCCGTGGGCGGGCAGAGCCGCACGGAGCCCCGGACGGAGCGGCGGTGGCAGTACAGGGGCACAGGCGTCTCTGGACGATGGGGGCGAGGCCGAACCCAGGGCTGCTCCAGGGCCGGGCGAGGCGGCCGGGGTGGGCTTCCCGTCCTGCCAGACAGGGGCGCGCCCCGCCCTGGGCCGGCTGCCGTGGGCACGGCGTGCGGGCCCCCGGACGACGACCGCCAGGAGCAGCCCGCTCGGCCCGGGCTCCCCCGCCTACCTTGTCCTCCACGCGGTTCAGGCGGGCGCCGATGGTGTTGCTGCCGCGGTCCTTGCTCTTCTCTGCGGGGCAGAGACCCACCCGGTCAGGAGTGCGCGTCGGCCGAGGGGGAGGCCGGGCTAGGGGACGAGGCTGACGTGGGGCTGAGGTAGCTGAGGGCAGACCGCCCGGATCCCACCAACTCACGAAAGTGCTTCTGTGGCAAGCACTTCGGGCGGGGAGCACCGGGGTGCGGACGGTGGGGGTGCAGCAAAGCGGGGTGGGGTGTGGCAGGGGCGCCCGCAGAAGCTCCGGCCCTGCTGCACTCTGCCTAGCTTGTGACCCTTAACCCGCCCCCACACACACCCTCTGTGCCCACCAGGACGGCCCGCCCCCCAGGGCGCACAGGCCTGGCTCGGGCCCCCAGTGCCGGCCATCCCCGCTGCCCCGGCCCCTGTGCGAGCTGAGGCAGAGGCAACCCCGCCTCGCCCTGTCCTCCTGGGTGTGACACAGAGCCCGGTCCAGGGGACACATGGAGTTGACACCCAGCTCCCTGCCGCCGACGGCCCTGGGGATCCGGCTGGCCGCGCACCCCACAGGGAGACGCCCTCCCCAGGTCTCCCTCCCAGGGTCCCAGTCACGTCTCCAGACCCTCCGTGGCCCAGAGGCGGCCACCGGGAGGGCCCGCGTGGTCCTCACCCCCACTGAAAATCCATCTGCGAGGGGGGTGGGAAGCCGCCCGATCAGGGTGGGGGGCCCCGACCCTGTCTCTGGCCTCCGCTGCCTGTCCCGCACTCTGGAGACCCCGGGGCCCGCTCTGACTCCGGGGCGAGGCCGGACGGGGGTCTGCAGGGCCGCCACGCCCAGGGCACCGCACGGCGGACACCCACCTGAGACGGAGACGAAGAGGGAGGGCTTCCCGATGGACTGGTCCAGCCTGGGAGGGGGGGGGAGACGGGCGTCAGCTTGTGCTTGGCCTGGGCGCCCGGCCGGGAGGGGGGCCGGACAGCCACCTCCGGGGCTGCCCCCCCTCCGCTGCCACCCGCCAACCTGCCCGCTGCCTCCCAGGCCCCAGAGCCTGTGTTTCCCGTGGGGCTGGGGGGCTCCGTGGTCGGGCAGCTCCCTGTGTGCGACTTCCCCCCTGGGCAGGGCGGGTCCCCGGATGGCCCCAGGCCAGGCCCCTCGGACCCACTCTGGAAGGTGGGCCTGAGGTGGGGGGCAGGGGGCCTTCCAGGGTGAGGCCAGGTCCCTGAGCTGGGTGGCCTTCGTGTCCCAGTGGGAGGCGTGGCAGGGCGGCCCTCGCCCCCAGCGTGGGGTCAGGACCAGCGCCTTCTCTCGGCTGCACCCACGACCCACGGAGTTCGGGCCCGGGCTAGCCCACCGTGGAGGCACTGCTGGTCTGAGCCTGCGCTGGCCCCAAGGGCCTCGCCACCTCCCCGTGAACACGTACGTCTCTAGGCTCCAGGTCGGAAGCCAGAGCGGGGTGGCTCACGACGGCCAGGGTGGGGAGACCCCGGGGGGGGGGAGGCCCCAGGGTGGGCCCTGTGCCTTGCTCCAAGGGGGAGGGCTGGCCGTGAAGCGTCCTACAGCTGTGAGCCCAGGGGAGGGGAGCGGGGAGTGGAGGTCCCGTCCCCTCAGTCCCCCAGTGCCCCTTGCCCAGCCCCTCCCCCTGGCCCCTGGGGCCGCGCCCACCTTCGCTGCAGCTCCTTGATGCGCACCATGAGGTTGAGGTGGCCCTGCGAGTACTGCTCGATGACGTCCCGCACGTCGTAGGGCTTCCGCGCTTGCTGCGGCGGGAGACACGCGTCACTCCCCTCCCCGAGCTGCGGCCCACCGGCTCGGCCCGGCGCCGCGGGGTGGGCGCCCCGTGTGGCGGGACGGCGGTGCCTGCGCGTGTCCTCCCCAGGGGCTGCGATGCGCGGCCCGGCTGCCGAGGGCTGGGCGGCCCTGGGCCGGCAGCTGGCCTGCCCACGCGTCCGCCCCTTCCAGGCTGCTGCTTCCCCTTCTCGCCCAGCTGGGAGAGCGGGCCCAGCCCAGAGTCCGGGGGGCAGCGAGACCACCGCGTGCCAGCTAGGAGGGCACAGTGGTGGGCGGCGGCCGCCTCCGGCCTGGGCCTCAAGCTGACCCCCAACCCACTCGCGGTGGCGGTCATGGCGGCGGCTAGGAGAGGGGCTCTCAGGGCGGGCGAGGGCCGGAGGGCTCAGCGCGGGACTCACCTGGAATTTCTTCTTGGCCACGAAGTACTGCATGCGCCGGATGACCTTGATGGTGGCCCGGTGGTGCTCCCGCAGCCTGCGTGGGGGACGGAGAGAAGCGTGTCCGGGGCCGCCCTGAGAGGTGGGGGCTCGCGCCCTCCCCGGCGCGCCCTGCGCATGTGGGCCGGGCCCTTCTGGAAACCAGGAGGATGGCCCCCCGCCCCCAGGATGGGGGTCTTCATGGCCACGACCTGGGGGTTGGGGGGCGGCGAGGGGGGCAGGAGGCTTTTATGGGGAGGACGGCCCCAGAGGGACCCTGGCCTTGCTTGTCGCTCAGAGGTGGGGTGCGTGTCGGGGTGCCCTGGCTCGCAGAGGAGCCCCGGAAGCTCCTTTCTCCCTCAGGCCTTCGGGCCCCTCGCCAGTGAGGTGGAAGGGGCTCTGACACAGGCTGCCCGAGGCGCCCCGTCAGCTGGAGCGCTCTAGAACCCCACAGAGAGGCACAGCCTGGGACATTTGTAGGCCCCTCAGCCAAGGACGGTTGGTTACTTCCCGAGCCACTTGAAGTTTCTACGGGTCCTTCTGGAGACCAAGAAGGTCTTCTAGAAACACGGCCAACAAAGAAAACACAGCCAGCGATGTACGTGTTCGCGTAGAAGGAAGACCGGAAGGAAACACGCGCCCGTGGCCACGGTGGGGGTTTGGCTTCGGTTGGGGCGCTCGCGAGGACAGGGGGCACGGGGCCTGCCGCTGAAAGCACCCTGGACGCCCGGACCTGCCAGCCACACCCCCGAGGGAGAGGACGCCACGGAGAACAGGTGGTTCTGAAGACGTGGCGGCCGGTGGTTTTCCAAAGACGCTGGAAGACATCAGGCCACGGATTCCAGCGGCTCTGCGGACCCTCGTGGGGGAGACAACGGGTTCGTCGGACCCAGGCCCGTCTGAGTCACGCTTGGGACGTCCCAGAGGCCCCGGGGGCGTCCCAGGAGCGGGGCAGGGAGGAGGCGGCCGAGGACACAGTGTCCTGAGGACCGGCTCGTCCATCGAAGGGACAAACGCCAGACGCCATCTTCAAAGTGCTGGAGGAGAACCGCCGACCTGGCGGTCTACACCCGTCAGCCACCCCTCACCGAGGGCGGCGGGAGAGAAGGAAGCCGGACGCCAGGGGTGAGCCCGGAGTGATGCCGCTCGGTGAGGTCCCGGAGCAGCCAGAGCCACAGGCTCTGCACAGAATGCAGGACGGTGGGTGCCCGGGGCTGGGGTGGGGGTGGAGGAGGGCGAGTGAGCGTGTGATGGGGGCAGGGCGTCGGTGTGGGGAAGATGGAAAGTTCTGGAGAAGATGGCGGTGCTGGCAGCACCACGGCGTGGGTGCGCTCAGTGCCGCCATGCCGTGCGCTTCGGATGGCTGAGAGGGAAGTTGTGTGTGCACTGCGCTGCGGCAGACAGACAGAGAGACAGAGAGAGAGACAGGAAGGGGAGACCCACACCGGGAGGCCTCGCTGCGGGGAGCTGCCTGGGAGGGTGACTCGGGGTCCCCCCCACCCCAGGTCACAGGGGGCGGTCCTGAGGGAAGCTGGGACACAGGAGGAGGGGGCGGGAGCAGAGGAGGTCACGTCTGTGACACCGTCTCCGTTAGTGCGCGCCAGAGCAAAGGCGTGCCACGGGGTTTAAGTGTCACTAGAGAGAGGGAGGGAGGGACATTTCATAATTTAAAAAGTGGTTGATCCGTGGGGAAGGTGCCGTGGTAACTCTGGATGCGCCTGGAAGCACACGCGCGCACACACACACGCCCGTATGCGTGAGCTGCCACGCACGGTGAAAACCGCATCAGGGCGCACGCAGGGCGGCGGCGGCCTTGTGCGGCCGGACACCCCGTCTGTTGTCGGGGCGGCGGCCACAGCGCCCGCCCGAGGTCAGTGCCGACGGGTCCGGGACGCATTTTACAATCTCTAGGCGACCCCCTGAAGGAATAACAGATCCTGAAATGATGTGGAGTCGACAAGTTCACGGGGGAGGGCAATGAAACGATGACGATGTTTGGTTAATCCGAAAGGAGCAGGAGGGGGAGGGCGAGGAAGCGGTGGAACCGGCGAGAAGCAGGAGGAGAGGGGGTTGGGCGCGTCCCGAAGGGGCCGGATGTTCCAGCGAAGAGGCCAAGGTTGCCGGGCAAGGCCGAGGAACCCGATGCCGCCCGCGCGTCCCCTTGAAAACAGAGAGACCGAGAGGTGGGCGGGAAAAGGGCAGGGACAGACCTCCCCTGGCGTGGCCGGAGGACGCCGGGGTAGGCGAGCTCACGCTGGACTGTAAGTGTTAAGTGTTTGGAGACAAAGAGGGAGCTTCCGTAACTTAAAAGGGGCTGCATGTCGGGTGGGAAGGTAACAATCCCAAATCCGCAGGCACCCACGGAGAGACCCTGAACACCCACGCAGCCGACCCCGGCAGGAGGCAAGGCGGAAGGGGCTCCGAGGTCACGGCGGGTGGCCCAGGGTGGGGGGGGCGCCGCCACAGCCTGGGCAGAGACGCGGACGCAGACGCAAACACACGACTCGTCGGCGCAGAGACCACGCCCGCGGCCTGAGCGGCCAGGCGGCCTCACCGAGGTCTCGGGACCACGGCTCCCAGTCCCCGGAGAAGGGCACGCGGCTCTCCGAGCGCGCACGGGGACCCCCCCCCATGCCCCCCGGGGGAGGCCTCCGCGAGGCCCTCGAGCACGTGCCGCCTGTCGGCCCCTCCCTCCGAGCCCAGCGCCGTGAGGCCGGAAACCGGGGAGACAGAGGTGACCGAGACACCCCTCCTGTTCTACGGACTAATCTGAGTGACTCCAGGACCGAAGATGGCATCTCACGGGGGCTGGACAGCAGTTTTGTTTGAATGACAATGACACGGTCCCCTAGGGAGACCGACGGCGGAGGAAGGACTCGGGGTCCCGGGAAGTGAGAGCTTAGAGAGACGTTCATGGCCGCCAGTCAGTGCGTGCGTGCGTGCGTGCGCGTTCATGCGCGCGCGTGTGTGTGTGCGTGCGTGCGTGCGTGCGTGCGGAGGCTGGCGTCTGCCCCGAGGAGCGAAAAAAGTAGCACGTTCAACTCCGACGACGCAGACGAGAGATGATGAAGACAGGGACGTAGCTCGGTGAAATAAAAAGTGCGCGCTGCGTGGAGGAACGCCAGCAAAGCCAGAACGGCCTTCCCCGAACGCACCGGTGACGCCGCCGACCGCCTTGCGGGGAGCCGACCCGGGGCGCCGCCGTCGGAACCCAGCGCCGTGTGGACCCGGAGACGTTTTCGCGCAATCTCTTCGGGGGCCAGCGGGCACGAAAGGAATTTTTATAGTTTAAACAAATTAGATTAGTGTCCTAAAAACACAATGTATAAAAGGAGACACGAGGAGAAATTTTAAAAATTCAAATGGCCTGATACTAATGAAATAAATTAAATCTGGAATTTTAATGGTCTCTCCCCCTGCACAATGAGCCCTTTGAGTCTCGACGAGGTCCCCGGGGTGGTTCTAAGCGTCGGAGGCAGAGACAGCACCGGGCGGAGGCGCACGTTTTTGGGGGACAGCGTGAGCCAGCAGCGTCAGGCTCCCGGTGGCCGGCGGGCGGGGGGACGCGCTGCGGCACACCGTGTTGGCAGGAGGGTGCTGAGGCGGGAGAAGGCACGGACCTCTTGGCCGGTGAAGCAGGTGGTCGGTCGCCAAGGCCGCACACACGCAGGGCCCCCCCTACCCACGCGTGCTGCACAGAGAGACAGGAAGTGGGCCGCGTCTGCCCGGAGCTGGGGACGCGGCGGCCGGGGGCTGCTGGGTGTGGGGTCGTGATGTCCACGCGGGCCCTACCCATGGACACACCCACCCTGGGACCCGGTTCCTCTCTCCGAGGCTGCACCCACTGCTCCGAGAGGCGGGGTGGGAGATGGGGGCCTGGAGGAGGGCGTGAGGGAACGCAAACCTGAATCCCAGGCTGGGCCTCGGCCGCCCCCAGGGAACCCCTTGAGCTTGGGACGCCTGGGGAGCCGAGGGTGCACAGAGGACAGTGAGGCCTGAGGACATGGCCTTGTTACAACGAAACCCCTGGGGCCAGGCTGCGGCCCCCCTTGGGGTGTGGGGACAGGGGTCCTCGTGCCCCGAACCCGGGTGGGCAGCCCGACCGTGTAAGTCGGCCACCTCACAGTTGCCTGGAAGGAGCGGGCGAAGAAACACCTTTGTCCTGGCTCCGTCCCCTGGGAGGGGCTGGGGGAGGGGCTGGGAGAGGGGCGGGGGGGCCCCCCTGCCGAAGCCCCGGGGAGATCATGCGGACGCGGGTTGCAGGCTGTCCGCCCTCATTAGGCCCAGGGAGCTGGCGGGCTGGCGAGCTTCCAGCGCCGGGGAGAGAAACGGGGGAAGCGGTTCCGAGACGGAGCCGGGGGTCCCCTTTCCCAGCCTCGGGGGTGGGAGCCCCCAGAGCCCCCCTCCCTGAGGTGACTTATTGGGAACTTGCGGACTAAAACAGAGGAGAGAAGACCCTTCACGTCTAAGAAGAATGACGTGGGCTTCTTACTGATTTCCGTCCACAAAAGTGATTTGTGCGCATTTCCTTCCAAAAGCCTGTGAATCACAAACCGGCTGGGCCCTGCGGGGGCCTCCGCGGCCACTCGGGGTCCTGGGCGAGTGAGGGAGGGGCGTGGGGTCCAAGGGCTGGGGGTCAGAAGCCAGAAGGCTCTGCCAGGCTCCTGGGCGCCTGGGGGTGCTGAGCAGGCCTTGACCTCTCCCTGCTGGGGCCCCTTCCTTCCTGCTCCTTGGAGCCGAGGGGGGCCTGTGGGGCTGCAAAACCCCCAGGGGCCCTTGCTAGACTGTCTTCGGCGAGATGGAGACCTGAGGGGCGGGGATGGTGGGACCTCTGCACCCGGGTCTGGGGCACAGCCCTTCATGAGACTCTCTGCTCAGCGCCCCTCGGCCCGTCCCCACCCCCGCCCCCCCCCGGCCAGATTCCCTGACTCGCTGGGCCACTCACGGGCCGGGTGCGCCCCAAACCGGTGACCACGGCCCCAGGCCGAGACCCCACCTCTGCCTATTCTGGGCGCCCACCCACCTGGACTCTGAGTCCCCCCGTCCTCGGGGGGCGGG